CGAGTCCCGCATCGGGCTCCCTGCTCGGCGGGGAGTCTGCTTCTCCCTCTCCCGCTCCCCCCTCTTGTGCTCTCTCACTCTCTCTCTCTCAAATAAATAAATAAAATCTTTAAAAGGAAAAAAATAAAAATAAAAATAAAGCCTTCTGCCAATGCAGAGAATCCTCTCCACAAATGTAGTAAAGAATGAAACAGTTTAATTATTTGAATAATCAACTAGACTGCAGTGTACATCATTGGCTACCTACCAACGAGACGGCAAAGACAAAGAAATCTCATCCTTTTCTCCAGCCAAGCAGATACAACCCATGATATGTGTGTTTCAAGATAACTTGTCCTCAAGTAAGAGGACTGGACAGCACCATTTGTTGCACATAGTTTTTCTTAAACCTGGTAGCTGGGGTGGCCAGCTGTTTACTAATTGCCTTTATCCAAAGGAAAAACCAAACTTCCCCTATCTTTATGACAACTTGGAATCATGCTATCTTCCTTAATGTGTACATTTCAAGGAGATGGCTCCATGGTCCCTATAAGCTGTAAATCTGGCAAGAGGTTTATTTAGCTTTTAAAAAGATTTACACACTTCTCAAAGGGACAGCTTTACCACTGCAAGTTTTCCCAAAGAAACACTGTAAGGGAAAGGGAGGTCTCTTTCCCTTTTGGAACCAGGGAAAATTCCCTTTTGCTTACATTGTATTTAGCCTTACACAAGATAGGTCCTGCCCTGCCTGTCCTCCTAGGATGGCACAGGGGCTCTTGGCAACATCTTCCTCCTCCAGATTTAGTATAAAGGGACGTAGCTGTTGGAGAAGGGCCTAAATGGAAGGTCTGCCCTAGGGAGGACTGCAGGGTTGGGAGGCAGGCTGCTGGTGGTCTAGAGGGAGGTAGACTGTTGAGTGTTGGGAGGGTTGACTGGGTGAAGAGCTAGAGGGACTCGTATGTGGAAATCGCCACTCGAGAGGCTGCTGGGTATTATGTGTCCTCTGATCACTTCCCAGCTTCTGACGAGGGAAGGCCCAGCTGTCCTTGCCTCCGACGGCCCCCAGAACCATGTCAGTCTGCTGACATCACTTTGGCAACAATCCACAGACCTTTCCTAGAGACCACTCTGCCAATGCTGTGATAAATGGAGAGGGCATTCGAGTAGTCTCTGAGCTCTCACCTTGAACCAGACTGTCCCTGGAGTGGGAATGGCTGTGGCCAGCTTTGCTGAAGACGCTTCTCCTCTCCCACAGCCTACAGAAGAATACCATCGGGCCTGTGGGAGCCCAGCAGATGGCAGATACCCTGAAACAGAACAGGAATCTGAAGGAACTCATGTGAGAAATGCAGAAAGGCCAAATTTGTATCCTCAGTGACTGGCACAATGGCCCAGCCCATCATAAATATTTGTGAGCACGATGGATGGATGGATGGATGGGTGGATGGACAGACGGATGGACGGATGGATGGATGGTGGTATGGGTGCAAGGTAGCTGGCTTTGGACTCCAGATTCCTAGGATTGGGACTGTCTCAGACTTAAATTTACTGCCTTCCCAACACTTCCTGGCTACCTTCACATGAAGTATCACAAAAGAGTTGGCCCTGCCGCCCACTAGGGAGTCAAGTACTTTGCTACCTCGATGTCTTACAGGCCATAGGGAATCACTTGCAGAGGCGACCAGCCACAGACTCAAGCCGAACGAGCTCTGCACTGGGCACCCTTAACACAACAGAGAAAGCACAGCCCTGGAGCGCTTCCCTGACCCCGATCCCAGGCCCCCCCTGCCAGGCTGCTCCAGAAACCCAGCTCATCCTTGTCTCATCTCTTACAGATTCTCCAGTAACAGCATTGGTGACGGAGGGGCTGGGGCCCTGGCTAAGGCCCTGAAGGTGAACCAAGGCCTGGAGAGCCTGGAGTGAGTCTGCCTGACCACCCTCCAGGAGTGACCGTGGGCAGTGGGTGACTCCCCTGGTTTCCCCATCTAGAAGGTGGGCGGGTCCTGGAGGAGGGCTGTCAGTCAGGACCTCGACTTTGCCAGAACCCAACCAACCACCAACAGTGGGCATACTGTGATCTCAGTCTCTCTCCACGCCCACCTCACTGTTCCATCCCACCCCACCAGACCCATTTCCCTAGACAGTTGTGGTTGGTGCTGGTTGTGGAGTTTTCAGAGTGACAAGCACTGAGTGCCCTTGAAAAGCTGGCACAGGTGGCTAAAGAGGGTGTCGGCTGCAGTGGCCTTGGTGGGGGGCGGGGGGGCTCAGTGCTGCCCCCACATGGGGAGATTCAGCTGCACGACTTTCTGTGGGGGCTACAGACACAACACACACTCCAACCCCGGACTATTTGGAGCCACTCAAATCAAGGCAGAGTCTGAGCTTTGAGGCTGATTATGCTAGACCCAGCTGCCCTGACCTAGGTCTGGAACGTAGGGAATGGGGACAGGAAGGAGGGATGATGAGCAGAGCAGTGGGGGGGGGGGGGCACTTGCTCCCAGGGTTCCCCAGCTCTGTTGAACCTGACGCCTGCAGTCCCCAGGCTGGAGCAGTGCTCCCTGCGAGTCCTGGGACGGCCACCCCAAGCGTGCCCCGTCCTCTGTTTGCAGCCTGCAGAGCAATTCCATCAGTGATGCAGGGGTGGCGGCACTGATGGGGGCCCTCTGCGCCAACAAGACCCTCGTCAGCCTCAAGTAAGTCCCGCCTCCCTCTCCAGACGGGGTCTCCCTTTGGCCAAGGGGTCTGAAAGCACTTTGGGACTTGGAAGAAAAGCCCACACCTCCCACTGCGGGCCTGTTCTGAAGATAATCTATGGTTGGGCAACTTGGTTCTGGGCCCTGGCATCCCGCTCACTGCCTGCTCTCTTAGGAGGGCAGGGGACAGCTGGGGCCCTCAGCTCCCCAGTTCTGCTGCTCCCTTCCGGTACCCCAGCCCTTGAGGCAGCCAAGCCTGCCCCCAGCCCCCTTACCTCTGAGGGCCTGTCAACCAATCCTCTTCTTCCTGACGGGTCCCACTGTTGGCAGTCCTACAGGGGAAACACTTGGCTGGCTAGCCATGGGAGTCAGCTTGCTGGAGGCTCTTCACACCTCAGCCCTGATCACTCAAGAGGCCTTGAGGTTCCTTGGGCTCGAAAGGTCTGAGCACCGGGGCTTGTCTCCCCTAGAGTCCCCACACGTCTGGTCAGCAGCTCAGGGTCTTCTCTCTCCCCAGCCTGCGAGAAAACTCCATCAGCTCAGAGGGAGCCCGGGAACTGGCTCGAGCTCTCTGCATCAACAGCACCCTGAAGAACCTGGAGTACGTGAGTGGGGTGCAGGCTGTGCTTCCCACCGCCCCTTTAGCCGAGGGCCTGGCCTACCTAGAACCCTGGGGATGGGGAGAGCAGATCCTCATGGCCTTGCCACTTTACAGGCTGGAGAAGGACCTGGCTGGGAGGGGTAGCCAGGAGACCTGGCCTCTGGTGGCAACTCCTCCACTCTCATGTCCTACGTTACCTGTGGATGCTGCCTGCCCCTTGCCCCCCTACCCACGGCAATGTGGGAGGGCCCATGTCTCAGGGGCAGCGCAGTACAGGGATCAGGTGGATGATCTGTCCTGGAACCTCACTGAGCTGAACCTGGGCCCCTTCTCCATGTGCCTGCCAGGATTTGGTACAACAGCATAAGACACATGCTTGGCACACGCCGGTGCTCAATAAACATGAGCTAGGCCGGTCCTCAGGGAGGAGGGGGGCTAGATTCCTGGGTTAGTAAGTATGGGGGCTCCACGGCCAGCTAGCTCCTGCTTACTCACCCCTGTTCCCCTCCTCCCAGCCTGACAGCCAACCTCCTCCACGACCAGGGCGCCCAGGCCATCGCGGTGGCAATGAGAGAAAACCAGGCCCTCACGTCCCTTCAGTGAGTCTCTGGCACCTCCCCACCCCATCCCCTCTGCAGAGCTGCAGGGCCATCACACCAGCTCAGGCAGGAGAATAAGTCTGGCTTTGGGGCCCTTCCACAACACAGCCTGGGGGCCTCCAGGAGGCGGTGCCCTGCCCCCTGCTCTGTTTCCTGGGGCTGATCCATGGAGAGGCCAATGGTGGGAGGTGGGCACCCATGCCATGCCTCCAAGTGTCACAAGCTTCATGCAGGGGCCATTTGGAGTCTTTGAGCCTGCCCCTGTGTCCACCCTTAACCAGAGAGTGCTTGTTGACCCCTTTTGACTAAACCTGAGGTGGGCTGCAAGAGATCTGCCCATCAGTGGCCAGGACCCCATCCTGCAAGGACTCCTTTCCTACTGCCAGACCCTCCTGGGAGATGTCCCCTCTTTCTGGAGACTCCAGACCCTCCTGGGCTCTGCCCTGGGCCACGTGGTCACATGTGTCTGTCTCTGCCCAGCCTGCAGTGGAATTTCATCCAGGCCGGTGCTGCCAAGGCCCTGGGACAAGCACTACAGCTCAACAGGAGCCTGACCAGCCTCGAGTAAGTGGGGCCTCTGCAGGGGCTGCAGGAAGGACAGGGGAACAAGGACATTTGAGACCTTGGTGTCCACCAGCACACGGCTTGGGCCAGAGGCCCTCAGCACACAGCCTCCTCTGCCTTAAGGCCAGCAGGCACATTTCTGTTCTCATCTGCTCTAATAGCTTTATTGATACATAATCCAGGTGCCACAAAAACTACCCATATAAAGTGCACAATTCATTGGTTTCTAGTATATTCACAGAGTCGTGCAACCATCACCACAATCCATCACCCCAAGAAGACACCCCAGACTCATTAGCAATCACTCCCCATTGCCCCCACGCCCCAGCCCCTCGCAACCAAACGTCTGCTCTGTCTCTATGGAGTCACCTGCACTTGACGTCTCATTCACATGGAATCATACCATAGGTGCCTTCGCAACCAAGGTCTTTCATTTAGTGTCATTTCTTCAAGGGTCACCTGGGCGGCAGCTTGAATCAGAGCTTCATTCCTTCCTATGGCTGAATCCTAGTCCACTGTGTGTATAGACCACGCTGGGTTTATCCACTCATCCAATGATGGAATTTGGGTTATTGCCACTGTTTGGCTCTTGCTAGTGACACTGCTGTGAGCGTTCATACACAGGTTTCTGTGTGGGTGTGTGCTTTCACTTCTCGTGGTTACACACCTGTGAGTGGAACCGCTGGGTCGAAGGGTAACTGTCTTTCACCAGGATTTCCCACCTCTGGCTTGTTCTTCTGTCTGACTGACATCCTGGTGTTCCCTAGGGTTCTGTCCTAGGCCGTCTTCTCTTGAATGATCTCTTTTCCAGAAGCTCTCCTCTCCCAGGCTCCTGGCCTTCAGAGCCCTGGTACCCCCACGTCTATCCCCCAGACCTCTCTCCTGAGCTCCACACCCATGTCCTCCCTGCTCCCTCGGCATCTCCCTTTGGGTGCCTCGTGGGAACTTCAAACCGCTCCAACTCTCTGCCCACAAGCCTGCTTCTCCATCCCCACCTCATGAACGGAACCAGCCAGTCGTGCAAGCTAGAAACACCACCTCTGCTCTCACTTCCCACTTGCAGCTCTCCTCCCAACGTCCCACCGTTTCCCTCTGCCCCCATGGCCAGCAGCATCACTCACCTGAGTCACTGCAGCGACACCTCTACACCCAGTCCACCGTCTCACATTGCTGGCCAAAGATCTTTCCAAGACGTAAATCTGTCCCTGTCCTGGGTGAGAGACTTAAATGCTGCCCAGTGCCTCCAAGTGAAGGCCAACCCTTAGCGTGGCTTCCAAAGAAGGCCCCAAGGACCTGCTTCCTTTGTACCTCCTTGGCCTCTTTTCATGTGCCGGCAACTCGAGTGGATTTGGGTATAACGGATGTGCCAGACCCTCTCCCCCACGCCATCCTTCAGGTTTTGGTTTAGACCTATTTCTTCTGGCAGTTTCTGTGACGACACAGGGGTAGGAGACCCCTTGGGGTCCTCCGTGCAGTTGGCACGTGGCCTTTGGTGCCTGCTCGTTCAATCACAACTCCTCACCTGAGACAGTTCTGGGCCTGTACAATTGTGTGGACACAATACACACTCAAATGTCTGTTAAAATTGTTAACGCAAACTTTCCCCTAAACACACCGATGCCCACCTGAACTAAAGTCTTAACCACTGACTGCCCTAGGACCTACTACTTTATTCCAATGTGGAAGGGAAGAAAAAAAAAAAAAGATGTAAAATACTGACCAGCAAGAATGGCCGGGGATTGAGGGCCTTGACATAATTCTCTGGCTGGCACATCCTTTTTTGTCCCTTTTCCATGTATCCCTTTTCTTGTTTGCTTCTGATGGTCCAGGTTCATGCAGACCCCAGAGCCCTCTGCATGTTAAGTAGGAGGCCCTGGGGACGGTTATCCCCAAGGCAACCCTGGGAGTCTAGTCCATGGTGTGTGTGGCCTGAATGAATCTAGGTCCCTGGGAGTCTAGTCCATGGTGTGTGTGGTCTGAATGAATCTAGGTCCCTGGGAGTCTAATCCATGGTGTGTGTGGTCTGAATGAAATCTAGAAGGTCCCTGGGAGTCTAGTCCGTGGCGTGCATGGTCTGAAGGAAATCTAGGTCCCTGGGAAATCTAGTCCGTGGTGTGCGTGGTCTGAATGAAATCTAGGGAGTCTAATCCATGGTGTGTGTGGTCTGAATGAAATCTAGAAGGTCCCTGGGAAATCTAGTCCATGGTGTGCGTGGTCTGAATGAAATCTAGAAGGTCCCTGGGAAATCTAGTCCATGGTGTGCATGGTCTGAATGAAATCTAGGTCCCTGGGAGTCTAGTCCATGGTGTGTGTGGTCTGAATGAAATCTAGAAGGTCCCTGGGAGTCCAGTCTGTGATGTGCGTGGTCCGAATGAAATCTAGAAGGTCCAAGCTCAGCGTGTCCTGCCACAGTGCTAGCATGGTGCCCTGTGAGCCCAGGGTCACTCTCTGTGTTCAGTTTACAGGAGAATGCCATCGGGGACGAAGGCGCCTCTGCAGTCGCCAGCGCACTCAAGGCCAACATGGCCCTCACTGCACTCTAGTAAGTGCTAACGTGCACAGCAGCCCGGGAGGCCGGCCCCACACACTACACATCAGTTTTGCCTTCCAGTCAAGGAAGGTGTGTTTGATTTTCCTAGTGTTAGCAATTGGGACATCGAACATATGGAAAGTAAGAAGTAGGGGCTCGGGGAGTGTTCTCCCTCGAACTCTCCAGGAGGCCAGCTCTCCTTGCTGTATCCGGAGCATCCAGATCTCTGTCCTAGGCTTCAGACAGTGCACGCAGGGGGCGCAGTGTTCCTTGGACAGATCACGGGCCAATAACCTTCAGTGCTGCGTTGCCACTTTCAGCCCTAATTCCAGGGGTGGTGAAAAGGAAGGACAAGTATGCGTGGATGCTGGGCCAGGCAGGGTGCGAGCTGGTGAGGCCTGTCCGCATTGACGCATCTCTTCCTCCAGTCTGCAGGTGGCCTCCATTGGCTCCCGGGGGGCCCAGGCGCTAGGGGACGCCCTGGCTGTGAACAGAACCTTGGAGATTCTCGAGTAAGTATTCCAGTCTCTGGCTATAGTCTCTTGCCCAAAGAAACCAAGCTGTTGATTTGAAATGAAGATATGGAAGGAAAAAAAAAATGTCAATTTACATGGAAACTCACAAATCATTTAAACATCGTCCTTTAGATCAAGCATGCCCCAGCTTCCCCATTTCCACTGCATACCTCTTCCCTGGGAGTCACTACTGTTGGGCCTCCTCTCCTTGAGGACCTGCTCTTCTCAGCCTTGCCTAGGCTGCCCACGTCCCAAGGTCCTGTGTAGGGGTCCCTGGCCACTGACCTCAGACAAGGAGAAGATCCAGACTCCTGGGGGAGGGGGTTAAGCTCAGTGGGGCTCTCAGGCATGTCCCAGTCATCCCTGCTCCTGTGGTCCTGGGATGCTGAGGATGTGAGGACCGCTGGATGAAGTGTTCCCTTTTTTTTTTTTTTAAAGATTTTATTTATTTATTTGAGAGAGAGAGAGCACATGGTTGGGGGGGGTGGTCAGAGGGAGAAGCAGACTCCCCGCAGAGCAGGGAGCCCAATGCAGGACTCCACCCCAGGACTCCAGGATCATGACCTGAGCCGAAGGGAGTCGCTTAACCAACTGAGCCACCCAGGCACCCTGAAGTGTTGCCTTTCTTATCTCAGCCCCACTCTCCTTTCTTTGGGATGGAGGAGGGGGAGGGCTCCAACAAACCACCCAGATTTGTCCGATCTCCACTCTGCACCCAGGAGTGAGAAAGAAGCAACCTCACCCCCATGGTTGCTGAGTCCATGCTGCCTCTACCAGGAGCCCATGCTCTCGGAAGAGGTACAGTTTTCACCCCACAGCTGACACTGTGCCTTAGGCTTCATATCTTTCCGGACAGCTTACGAGGAAATGCCATCGGGGTGGCTGGAGCCAAAGCCTTGGCAAATGCTCTGAAGGTGAACTCAAGTCTCCGAAGACTCAAGTGAGTGGCTATAGAGACCTACCTGAGCCCCAGAGCAGCAGACTTCTCTGCTGAAACCTACCCCATGAGAGGAGATGCTCTTGATTTCCTCGGTAGCTGCTTCCTTCCGAATATAAATAGCTCTGATGGCTAGAGTCCCTCTTGCAGATGGGTTTGTTCATTCTGTCTAGCTTATGCCAGAGCTAAGTCACTTAACATCTGCATTTTTGGTCTTGCCCTTTCCATGGCACTTGGATGGGACCACCCGGCTACTTGTAGACACTGGTCTCAGGGGTAAACACCCCCTTGCTGTGGACAAATCATCCCCAGAAGTGCATATTTCCTCCACGGCCCCCCAGGATAATGCAGTGCTGCTTCCTGGGGCGGGTTCTAACGTACCGAATGGCTCACGGTGGTGTCTCCATCTTTTCTCTGCCTAGTCTTCAAGAGAATTCCTTGGGGATGGACGGGGCAATATTCATTGCCACCGCATTATCTGGAAACCATGGCCTCCAGCATATCAAGTGAGTGGGGCTCAGCAGCACCTGCCCTTCCCTGCCATTCTTGCTCATCCTTAGAACAACTCCCAGCTTCTCGGAGACAGCTGACTCCCGGGTCTTTCAGCAGCTCTGCAGGGAAACTTGGTATAAGGGGGAGCCATTCTGGGCCTTCTCCGTGGGAGGGATCCGGGAAGCATGAAGGTCTTGACTGGAGCTCTGCATTTCATGCTCTTTACTAAAGAGAACCTGCATGCCTCTAGGCCTTGAGCCCATCTTTCAAGTCCTGTCCTAATCCTTCTCTTGTAGTCTCCAAGGAAATCACATTGGGGAATCTGGTGCCAGGATGATCTCAGATGCTATCAGGACAAATGCTCCTTCGTGCATTGTTGAAATGTGAGCAAAACAAGTTCCTGGTGGACCTGGTGGGAGGACAGGTGGAGCAACAACTGGAAGCTTCTGAACGGAAAGACCATTTTCCAGGGTTCCTTCCTGTGGTCTGGGAATGATGCTGACCCACACAAAAGCTGGTCTCCTAAAAGGAGGCAGGAAAGGTGCTGCCAAAGAGGTCAGGAGCACCTCTCCTGGACCCGGGTCAGTCCAGGCAGGGGTGAGATGGATTCTCTGCTATGGCACAGAGAAGGGAAGGTCTTAAAGCTCAGCAGGTAAGAAGCCGGTGTGAGCTTATTTATACCCGGAGGTCTTCATGTGCCCCTAATTTTTATTATTATTGCCCTTCTCCACTGGTTAAAATCATCCCCCTCACTCTGAAACAAGCTGCCATCTTCAAGCCTATATAGAGGATCAATTTGGCACTGGTGACAGAAGGGACCTCTCTTTTCTCAAGAAAACTAGAAGGTCTTAGGAGTATGATCCTTAGACACATGGAAAAATTATGAGAATTTTTTGAAGAGAAATGAAGGATTTAATGACAGGATTCTAGAGACAAAGACAAAAAAAGTTGTCCAAGGTTCTTGCCATCTTTTATCCATTACAAAATCTCTCAAAGGCACAGATTACGTCTGGCATATATTATGTGGGGTCTGGCACACTGGTTATCAAGAGCACGTTAAATATGGATGCCTTAGTAATGTTATTCTACATTGGGCTTCCCAAACCACTGTTATGCCTGCAGCTTCTCCATGAAGGCGAGCAAGCTGAGCCTCCATATGGTACAGGTTCCCTTGGGCGTCTGTCTGTGATGAAGGGAAAAAGATCCTAATGGACACCACAGCTGTCATCCACTAAATAACCAAGGAAAATGCTTATGAAGATTATAATTATCATTTTAAAGTTTGAACAGGAAGCATTTTTGTTCCAAACATGCCTCTAAAAATGAGTATTCAGGCAAGAATCCTCAATGGATGCTAAAACCATGGATGAAACTCTATCGAGGAAGAAGATAGCCACCCAGTCTCAAAATCTCACCCCACAAGGGATAGTTACGAAGGGGAAAAAGGTTATCTTTAAAGATGGACAATTTTGCATATGCTTTCTTAACAAAGTAATTAAACTTAACATCACCAATAATGGGATGGATGGACATAATGCGCCCCTGATGTGATGAACTGAGGACACACCATGTCAAAAATACTGATTTGAATCTGATCAAGAAGGAAAAATTGAGGGGCGCCTGGGTGGCTCAGTTGGTTAAGCGACTGCCTTCGGCTCAGGTCATGATCCTGGAGTGCCGGGATCGAGTCCCGCATCGGACTCCCTGCTCGGCGGGGAGTCTGCTTCTCCCTCTG